GCTAATGTTGGTTTATGATATTATGTAAATTTCAGGTATACATCATTATATTTTAATTTCTGTGTAGACTACATAGTGTTCACCACCCAAAATCTAACTGTCATCCGTCACCATACACATGTGCCCTTTTACCCCTTTCAATCTCCCCCCTTCCCCTCTGGAACTACCAATCTATTCTCTGAGTCTTTGTGTTTGTTTGTTATGGTTGTTTTTAAAACCTTCCCCAAGAATGAAATTGTCTGGTGTTTGGCTTTCTCCATCTGACTTATTTCACTTACCGTAATGCACTAACATCCATCCATGTTGTTGCAAATGGGACGAGTTTGTCTTTTTTATGGCTGAATGGTATTCCATTGTATATATATATATACTGCATCTTCTCTATCCAATCATCCATCGATGGGCACTTAGATTGTTTCTAAGTCTTGGCTATTGTGAATAATGCTGCAATGAACATAGGGGTGCATATCTATTTTTGAATTAAGGATTCTATGATCTCTGGATAAACACTTAGTAGTGGAACAGCTGGATCTGACGGTATTTCTATTTTCACTTTTTGAGAAACCTTCACTCTGTTTTCCATAGTGGCTATACCAGTTTGCACTCCCACCATCAGTGTGTGAGGGTTCCCTTTTCTCCATAGCCTCTCCAACAGTTGTTATTTGTAGTCTAGTTAATTATAGCCATCTTACTGGTCTGAGGTGATATCTTATTGTGGTTTGATTTGCATTTCCCTAATAATTAGTGATGTTGAATATCTTTTCATGTGCCTGTTGGACACCTGTATATCTTCTTTGGAAACATGTCTATTCAAATCCTCTGCCCATTTTATAATTGGTTTGTTTGTTTTGTTGCTGTTGAATTCTATGAGCTCTTTATATATTTTAGATATTAACCCCTTATCTGGTGTATGATTTGCAAATACTTTCTCTCAATTAGTGTGTTGTCTTTTAATTTTGTTAATGGTTTCCTTTGCTGTGTAGAAGCTCTTTAGTTTGATGTAGTTCTATTTTATTATTTTTGCTTTGATTTCCTTGCCTGAGGAGACATATTTAAAAAGATACTGCTAAGTGCTGGCCCAGTGGTATAGTGGTTAATTTCTCATGCTCCACTTCAGTGGCCCAGGGTTTGTCAGTTCAGATCTTGGGTGCAGTCTTACAGAATGTTCATCAAACCAGGTTGTGGAGGATCTCACATAGAAGAACTAGAAGGACATACAACTAGGATGTACAGCTATATACTGGGGCTTTAGGGAGGAAATTGAAAAAGAGGAAGATTGGCAACAGGCCAATCAGGGCCAATCTTCCTCACTAAAAGAAAAGATACTGCTAAGACCAATGCTAAACTGTACTACCTGTGTTTTCTTCTAGGAGTTTTATGGTTTCAGGTCTTACATTCAAGTCTTTAATCCACTTTAAGTTAATTTTTTGTACGGTGTAAGATACTGGTCTAATCTCCTTCTTGTTCATGTGACTGTCCAGTTTTCCCAGCACCATTTATTGAAGAGAGTTTCCTACCTCTACTCTGAGTTCTTGGCTGCTTTGTCAAATATTAGCTGTCCATAGATATGTTGGTTTATTTCTGGTCTTTCACTTCTGTTCCATTGATCTGTATGTCTCTTTTCCAAGCAGGGATTTTATAGAAATAGAAGAAAAGGAATTAGGAAAGCTCTCTGTTTGCCAATCAGTGTTGTCTCCAACTCCAGCCCCACAGGTGCTGAGAAAGTAAATGTTCTTCTTTAAGGAGAAAATCAAAAAAACACAACATACCAAAACCTATGGGATGCAGCAAAAGCAGTACTAAGAGGGAAGTTTTATGGCAATACAGGCCTATTCAAAAACCAAAAACAATCTCAAATAAACAATCTAACAATACACTTAAAGGAAATAGACAACAGAAGAACAAATGAAGCCCCAAATCAGTAGAAGGAAGGAAATAATAAAAATCAGAGCAGAAATAAATGAAATAGAAATTAAAAGAACAATAGAAAGGATCAATGAAACTAAAAGCTGATTCATTGAAAAGATAAACAAAATTAACAAACTGTTAGCCAGACTCACCACAAAAAAAAGAAGGAAGACTGAAATAAATAAAATGAGAAATGGAAGAGGAGAGAATACTATGGACAACACAGACATAGAGAAGATTTTAAGAGAATACTATGAAAAGCTATATGTCAAAAAATTGGATAACGTAGAAGTGGATAAATTCTTAGAAATATACAGCATCCTAAAAGTAAATCAAGAAGAAATAGAAAATCTCAATAGACCAATCACAAGTAAAGGCATTGAAACATTAATGAAAAACCTCCCAAAAACCAGAGTTCAGGACCCGATGGCTTCTGTGATAAATTCTACCAGAGATTCAAAGAGGACTTAATACCTATACTTCCCAAAATCTTCTGAAAAATTGAAGAGAGCAGGGTGATTCCCAACTCATTTTACAAGGCCAATATTACCCTGATACCAAAACCAGGTAAGGACAACATAAAAAAAGTAAATTAAAAGTCAATATGGCTGATGAAAATAGATGCAAAAGTCCTCAATGAAACACTAGCAAATCAAATACAGCAACACATTAAAAGGATAATACACCACAATAAAGTGGGGTTTATTCTGGTATGCAAGGATGGTTCAATATCTGCAAATCAATCAATGAGATACACCACATTAAATGAAGAATAAAAATCACATGATGTTCTCAATAGACACAGAGAAAGCATGTGAGAAGATTCAATATCCATTTATAATAAAAACTCTCAATAAAATGGGTATAGAAGGGAAGTACCTCAACATAATAAAAGCCATATATGACAAACACATGGCCAACATCATATTCAATGGTGAAAAAGTGAAAGCTGTTCCACTGAGAACAGGAACAAGACAAGAATGCCCACTCCAACCACTCTTATTCAATATAGTACTGGAGGCTTTAGCCAGAGCAATTTAGCCTTACACGACAAACCTACAGCCAATGTCATGCTCGATGGTGACAAATCCTAGAGGAAAATATAGACAGTACATTCTTTGACATTGGTCTTAGTGGTATCTTTTTGACTATGATCTCTACTCAGGTAAGGGAAAGAAAAGAAAAAAATAAACAAATGGGACTACATCAGACTAAGAAGCTTCTGAACAGCAAAGGAAAACATCAACAAGATGAAAAGACAACCCACCAACTAGGAGAAAATATTTGAAAATCACATATCTGACAGGGGTTAATTTAAAAAATATATAAAGAACTAATACAACTCAACAACAGAAAAATGGCCAACCCTGTGAAAAATGGGCAGAGGATCTGAACAGACATTTTTCCAAAGGAGATATACAGATGTCCAACAGGTTCATGAAAGGATGTTCAACATCACTAAATATTAGGGAAATGAAAATCAAAGCTATAATGAGATATCACCTCATACTCATCAGAATGGCTAGTATTAAAAAGATGAGATATAACAAGTGTTGGAGTGGATGTGGAGAAAAGGGAACCTTCATACACTGGGGAGCAGGAAGGTAAACTGGCACAGCCATTATGGAAAACAGTATGGAGATTTCTCAAAAAATAGAATTACTCTAGGATCCAGTTATTCCCCTACTGGGTATTTATCCAAAGAACATTAAATCACTAATTCAAAAAGATATATGCACACCTATGTTCATTGCAGCAGTATGCACAATAGCCAAGACTTGAAAACAACCCAAGTGCCCATCAATTGATGAATGGATAGAGACGACATGGTATATATATATACAATGGAATACTACTGAGTCGTAAATAAAGACAAAATTGTACCATTTGCGACCACATGGATGGACCTTGAGGGTACTATGCTAAGCAAAACAAGTCAGAGAAAGACAAATACTTTATAATTTCACTCATATGTGGAAGATCAACAAACAAAAACACATAGATAAGAAGAACAGATTAGTGGTTACCAGAGCCAAAGGGGATGGGTGTAGGTTGAAAAAGGTGAGGGTGCACATTTATAGTGACAGATAAAAACGAGAATATTGGTGGTGAACATGATGCAGCCTATACGTAAGCTAAAGCACAATCATGTACACATGAAATTTATACAATGTTAAAAGCCAATATGATCTCCATAAAATAATTTTAAAAAACCAAATTATCAGTATTAAGAATAAAAGAAAAGATTTTACTAGATATCCTACTATTGAAGGGATAAGGTAGAAGTAGTATGAAAAACTTTATGCCAATACATTAAAAAATGTAGATTAGAAACAAAAAGTTTCTTGAGAAACAGTTTCCTATAACTGAGATAAGAAGAAAGAAGACATCTGAACAGTTCCATATTAGTAATAATTAATATGATATTAACTAGTCAATTGCTATAATAAATGTGAAATATCAAAAATAAGGTGAAGTATAATCAGAAATATTAAAATAATTTTTCATTAAAAACCCTCTCACAAAGAAAACTCCTGGCTCAGAAGGCTTGTTAAATTCAACCAACATTTAAAGAAGAACAGCCAATCTTCCATAAAATCATTCAGAAAATAGAAGAGAAGGCAAAAGTTCCTAATTTACTTTACAAGGCCAGCATATCCCTAACACTAAAAACTTACAAAGAAATTACAAGAAAATTATACACCAACAATTCTTACAAACTTACACACAAAAAATCTTTAACAAAATTGAATAAAATATAAAAGTGCATAAAAAGATGATTATACAATGACCATGTCAGGTTTATTCCAGATAAGGAAGACTGGCTTAATGTTTGAAAATCAAGCATAATTCACTACATTAAGAGAATATAAGAGAATAATCATACTATTATCTCCACAGATACAAATAAAACATTTGAAACATTCAACACTTCTTCATGACAAAAGCTTCCAGTAAACTAGGAATAAAAGGGAAATTTTCTGAGTTTGATAAAGGGCATCAACAAAAATTTACAGCTAACATTGTGCTAAATGGTGACATTATAGGCTTTTCTTGTAAGATTGGGAGTAGGCAAGGATATCTGTGCTCACCATTTGTATTCAGCATTGTACTGGAGGCTCCAACCTAATTAATTAAGAATAAGGTTAATACATAAGAATTAATAAGGCAAAAGGAAGAAATTAAAGCCAAATACTGTAAAACAAGAAGCCTAACTATCTTTATCTGTAGGTGGCATGATAGTCTCCATAACAGAACAATCGTTCCTCCTCTGTGCTCTTTCCTCAGTCCAGACCCTGCCTAGTTAGTAGACAGTTTACAAAGTTTGGGGAAACACCAAGTTAGCAATATAATAAATCAATCCAGGACAAACGAAAATCATGGAACATCTTATTAAATTGCATCAATGAGTCAAACTATTTCTGCTTAATTTAAATTTTTACATAAATAGGAATAGTAGCAAAACCAACAAAAATAAAATTTATAGTGGATAAAACTGCATATAGTAACATTTATGTCTCTACAATTCAATCTGGGAAAATTTCACTTTGGTAGAAATAATGGCTACAAAAGAGAACTCCCAAAAGTAAAACCTTTACAGGTAAAATTGAACATTTGGTTTGCCGATTAGCTTTTACGATGTACAATTTTTTCATATGGAAAAGACTTGATCTCAAAGAATATGCTTTTAATAAGATATAAATAAAATTGGGAGAAAGAGAGATTATTTAATGTGGTTTTAGAATAACGGAATTAAATTGACTTAGAATTTACTTGGCATACTTCCTAACAGATATTTTAATTTGGAGATTTAAGTAGAGTGACTCCCAAAAGCTGGAGAAATTTGGATTTTTAGGTTACAAATGCAACAGAGAGATCTCATTTAAGGCTGACTTTAAGTATGAGAAAATATATGGGGGAAGTAGCCCAGAGTCAGACAAAATCCTCCACTTACAGCAAAGTCTTACTACAAAGCTCCCCACATCAATGAAGTTTACTTACAAGGCACCAAGTGGAGCTTGCCTGCTCTTCTTAAAGTGGTGGGTTAAGATAAGGATCCCAACAGATGAACAGCTGTTAGTGCAGGTGGCTGTCAGCATCAGGCACTGGGCTTTTCATTCAGAATGCAGTGAAACTCAGCGGTACAGCGTTTTCAGAGGAAGAGCTGTAACTTGATGGTTGTGAATACCTACATTTCACCACTAGAGGTCACTGGGAGTCAAACAGTTCCTGAACAGACTGTGGGATATTCAAGTTTCCTATGAAAAGAATGTGATTGATTTTGTGTATATATTTTTGTGTTTGTTTGCTCATAAAAACCTGACAGGGGCCAGCGCTGTGGCCAAGTGGTTAAGTTTGTGCGTGCTGCTTTGGCCACTCAGGGTTTTGCCAGTTCCAATCCTGGGTGCGGACCCTGAGCACGGCTCATCAGCCATGCAGAGATGGAGTCCTACATAGCAGAACTAGAAAGTCCTACAACTAGAATATACAACTATATACTGGGGGGCTTTGGGGAGAAGAAGAAAAAAAATTGGCGACAGATGCTAGCTCAGGGCTGATCTTTAAAAAAAAACCTTACAGTCAGACACGTCTCGTGTCCTGCCTCACATCTTCTCAGCCAACTTTTCCCCCTGATTCATTGCTAAGGAACTGGCGACAGATCCTAACTTCTGCTGCGCTGCTTATCTTTTGCATTTTTACATGAAGGCTTTTCTTAGGATGTGGTTGGGACAGCTGTGAGAAGCTGGTCATCACTGTGGCTGCTCAAAACTACAAGATTAGGAGAATTGACACCCCTTGCAACAATCCTTGACTATTAGGGGCCAAGAGTCATGCATATGTGATCCCTCAGTGGACAATACTGAGGCATGATCTGCATGATTCCTCAGAGGGTTCCAATGGGATCAGATCCAGGTTTTCCATAGTGGTGACCACTCTGATAACGCACCATTGTATTGGCTTTCTCTCCTTTCCTGTTTTGCTCTTTCCAGGGCCCATTCCTCATACCAGGTATCATGTCCCCAAATAAAGTCTTATCTATAAATCTCCCCACATCAGTATAGTTTACTTTGACTTTCTGTTCATTCCTGTTTTAGAGTCTGCTTTCTGGAAGGAACATAGGCATAACTCACCACCCTGACAAGAATACTTTCAGCACTCAGAATTCTCCCTCATGGCTCCACTTCTCAGTCAACATCTTCTTAAAGACAACAACTACTCTGATCTTGATCACCACAGATTACTTTTGATTCTGTTTTTAAAATTTATCTTACTAGAGTCACATAGTAAGTCCTATTTTGTGTCTATCTTCTTTCACTCAACTTTATTTCTGTGAGAATTATCCACGTTGGGATACGTAGCATTAGTTCGTTGTTTTCACTTCTGTGTAGCATTCCACTTTGTGAATATAGCATAATTTATCCCTTCTACTATGGACGCACATTTGAATTGTTCCCAGATGTTAACTACTTTTTCTTTTAGGAAGATTAGCCCTGAGCTAACTACTGCCAATCCTCCTCTTTTTGCTGAGGAAGACTGGTCCTGAGCTAACATCCATGCCCATCTTCCTCTGCTTTTTATATGTGGGACGCCTACCACAGCATGGCGTGCCAAGCGGTGCCATGTCCGCACCCAGGATCCAAACCGGGGAACCCTGGGCCTCCAAGAAGCGGAACGTGCGCACTTAACCGCAGCGCCACCAGGCCGGCCCCAGATGTTAACTATTTTGAATAATACTGCTTTGAACACTTTTGTACATGCCTTTTGTGGACGTAATCACTCATTTCTCTTGGGAATACACATGGCAATGGATATACTGGGTCATAGGTTATACATGTTTTTTACATTTAATAGATACCAGCAAACTGGTTTTCATTGTACTTATACCAATCTACCTTCCATTTCTCCACATCCTCACCCATATTTGATATTATTAACCCTTCTGATTTTAGCCATTCTGGTGGGGGTATAGTGTATCCAGCTGCTATTTTAGTTCATATTTCCCTGTTGACTCTGGTACTTACATTTTCATACATCTATTAGCCATTTAGATACACTCTTTGTTAATTGTTAGTTCAGTTCTTAGTTATTTATGTGTGTGTGGCAGGGAAGAAGGTCAGTGTCTTTCTTATTGATTTGAATTTCTTTATATTTTCTAAATACTAGTTCTTTGTTGGATGTATGTATTGTGAATATTTTCTCCCATTCTTTGGTTTACTTTTCACTATCTTAAAGTTGTATTAGGATGAAAATCTTCTCACTTTAGTGGGATACAGTTTGTTGATATTTTTCTTTGGCTATTGTGATCACCTCTTGTAAATTATTTACTCCTACTCCAAGTCATGAGATACTCTCCTTAATCTCAAAGTTCTCAAGGTTCTCAAAGTTGAGTGGGCATCAGAGTCATCTGGAAGGAGTTTAAAGCACAGATTGCTGGGACATACCTCCAGAGTGTCTAGTTCTTTAGCTCAGGGAAGAGGTCCAAGAATTTGCATTTCTTACAGCTTCCAGATGATGTCAATTCTGCGGGTCTGAGGATCGCACTCTGAAAGCCACTGCACTATTTTAACTTTGAGAAGCTTAACTATTTTACATTTTACACTTAGATCTACAGTATACTTGGACTCAATTTTTGTGTGTGGTGTGAAATTAGGTTATAATTTTATTTTTTCAATGTTAGTCAATTGACTAATAACACTAATAAGCAGTACCAATTATGCTGTAATTTAGGTGTCCATCCACAGATCTGTTTCTGAACTCCTTATTCTAGTCTTTTCTTTTATAAGTCTATCCTTGTGCCAATGCAATATAATAAAGTAATGCTAATTACTTTAGATTTAATAAATGTTGATAACCACTGGAGTAACTCTTCCTACTTTCTTCTTCTTCTTCAAGTATATCTTGTGAAACAAGAGGAAAAATAAAATATTTCTCTTTGGGCTTAATAAAGAAAAATTCAATTTATTTGTACATTTTAGAGAAGAGAGATATTAATTTAAATATAAACACTAGGGCACCAATTATTAATAGGAAAACAATGCAGAATTACAGACTTTTTGGATGTTAAAGACTACTTTCATAAGCCATAGCAACAGTCTCCTCTGTCTAGAGAGCAATGAGACATCTCTGTTAAAAACAACACATTTGAAAATCAAGAAGCTTTTGAAAAGTGAAAGAAGTGAAGAAGATTTTGAAAATTGAAAATATCTAGTGTTATGAGTTGAATTGTTTCTCCCTAAAATTCATATGTTGAAGCTCTAACCCCCAGTATCTCAGAAGGTGAGTGTATTTGGAGATGGAGCCTTTAAAGAGACAATTCAATTATAATGAGGCTTTTAGGGTGGTCCCCAGTGCAATCTAAATGGTATCCTTCCAAGAAGAGGAAATTTGGACACACAAAGAGACACCAGAGGTGCACGTGCACAGAGGAAAGATGTTGTAAGGACACAGCGAGAAGATGACCATCTACAAGCCAAAGACAGAGGCCGCAGGAGAAACCAAATCTGCTGACACCTTGTTCTTGGACTTCTGGCCTCTAGAACTGTGAGAAATAAATTTTTGTTGCTTGAGTCACCCCATTTGTGGTACTTTTTTATGGCAACCCTAGCAAACTAATGCATCCTGTGTTGGCAATGTCTTCTTGTAGATGATTAGTCATTAAGCAAGGTAGCAAAGTAAGCAAGGATATAACAGGCATTGCAGGATAATAAAGATTTAGGCAGCATTTTTAGAATACATCAGGGAAAATCAAAATCTTCTTAAAATAGTTTTTGTAGAGGATGCTTTTAAGGATATCTTTGAGTACATGCATAGCAAGGAATGTCTTTACCTACTTTCTCTGATAATAAATTCCTGACGAGATAAACAAGCAAAAAGAAATAGGACTGGCCAATGTAACTGGTCCAAGAGGCACCTACCAGGTATATTAATTTCTCCTTATTATCTAGTGATTGCTAGAACAAGTGAGAACTATTAAGCAGTCTGGCCAAGAGAATGTTCTCTGATTGTCCAAGAATTCTCATCAGCTTTTTTATTGAGGAGTCAGGAGACATTTTTATTTAACATACAATGTGGCATATGTGGTTCTCAATATGTAGGTTCAATTTCAATCCTTTTTGATATCTTCATAAATTTCTGATTAAAAACCACTTGGAATATTCTCTTGGATATATATTCTCACTGCCTCAGTCTTACCTGATTCTTGCAGCCAGTATTCTGGTGCTCCAAGTGAGTAAGGCCATAAGCAGTAGAAATACAGATACAATGGATTTAATGAGCTCATTCAATCCCTCTGCTTCCTCTCATAATTACCACAAGATACATTTATGCTTGGTTTACATGCTTGGTTCTGTAGAGTTTGAGCTTCTTTCTACTCCTTCGAATCTTAGTGTTTAGCATAGTCCTTGGTATTTAGTTGTGTAGGGGAGAAAGAAGTTTTCCTCTACCCTTCTAGTTTCTTCTAGCTGTTCTAGGAATTAAATTGACATGAGACAGAATAACAGGAGAAAATCAGTTTAGTAACATGTGTACATGGAAGAGACCCAGGAAAACTGAGTAACTCACCAAAAGGGCCAAAGCCATCTCCTTAAACACTGTATTCAGCTAAAGACCAGAGAGGATGTTAGGGGTAGCTGTTTGGGACTTCTAAAGGAAGGAAGGCAATTCACATGAAGATGGAAAAGCAAATGTGTGGTAAACTGTGGACAGCAATAAAATAGAGTAACATAGCCAAGGTTTCTAAAATGGAGCAAGGAGGCCATTAAGGATATGGGGCTTATGCATACATGTCGTGTCTCTACCCAGATGAAATGAAACTTATGAACTGTGCCTCACTGTTGTCATCTTGACCTCCTTAAAAGAAATATGCTTACTCTTACAGATGAGAATTTTTTGTCTTAGGGATGGCCTTAGCTTGCAATCATGTATAGCCAAGAAGTAACAGTTGTTGCCAGCACCAAGCACAAATTTTTCAAAATTACTTATATAATTTATCTCTTTTTGCCTTTATAAACCTTGCCTCTTTTGTCTTCCTCGGAACACATTTTGGGGTTTCTGCCTGAATCTGTGTCTCCCGAATTACAATTCTAATTGCCCAAAAAAATATCTACTGTTTAAGTTGTAGTGACTTTTTTGACAAAACAAACATTTGCCACGCAGAAACAATGGGATGTGGAGAGCGCTCTGATCTGGGCCCTGCTGTCTCCCTCACCACACTTAACCCATATTCTTTGTAGATATCTCTGGTGACAGCTCTGTTCCTGTTATAGGCCATTTATCAAAATTCTTTTAGGCAGTTAAGGGTGAAGTAACAAGAAAAATTTTATGAGTCTTGTTTCTTAAAAATAATCTTCATGTTAAAGAGACACAATTTCTGGTGGCAAATTTTGCTCCCCTTCATCAGACATTGATGAAATTATTGCTTGAGAAATAACTGAAATCTAAAAAAAGTGAACTTTGAATTGTTGATTTATATTATGTTACCCATATCTTTGAGTTACTTTTTTCACTGAAAAATGAAGATTCTTTTTCAAACTCATTAATTTTCCTTGGAACTTTTGTCTTTCCTGAATCTAAAGATTTATGGTTTTCATTAATTCTGGAAAATTCTCAGCCATTATTTTTTCAAATATTTCTTCTTCTCATTATGTCTTTTGTCTCCTAATGAAATTCCTATTGGGCTTATATTGGATTTCATTTTAGTTTTAATATCTCTTCTTTTTTCATACTCAACAGCTCTTCAGCTTTGTATTATATTATAAGAAATCCTTCAGATCTCCCAATTTAGAAATATTTTTAAATTGCTTTCTCTATTTGTTGCTTAATCCATCCATTGAATTTTTAATTACAGTGATTAGAGTTTTTACTTCTGGAGGCTTAATTTGCTTTTAAAAAATCTACCTGGTATTTTTTTAAAAGGTCTTTTACTTTTATGGTATTATTTCTTTTTATATTTTTAAGTTTATAAAATATAATTTCCTCTATGTGTGATTTCTTGAGGATCTAACCTCCTGTTTGCCAACTTTTCCCTGTTTTTTTTTTTGTTGTCCTTGCTGTTTTGTTGTTGTTGTTATTTCTTTGTTTTAATTTGCTAATGTCACTCTCCCTTGGGCACAGCGACTTACAGGGCAAGTGCAGACACTCTTAGGTGCCTGTGGGCTCCACTCTCCTTGTTTTTGTGTGTGTTTAATAATTTTTGTTCAAAATATTGTCATTTTATATAGAATAAGAGACACTGAGGTAAATAGTATTTTTGAGGGGGGTCTTGGAAGTGGGCATGCCTTTTCTTTTGCTAAGCATTGAGTGTGGGGATTTGAATTAATCTAGTCAGGAGTTAACTGGGTTTGTGTTTTGTCATTGTTTCAACAGTCTTCAGATTCCTCCAGCATTACTTTATTTGTATGGTGGGGCTGTTTCCCAGGGTTTTTATCTTAATGTCTGTTTCCCTCTCAGGTTTTGGTCTGTCCTTTGTACTGTGCCTGGAGTGGAATTATCTTATTCTTCTTTCGGCAGTGTCAGCTCTTGTGACTTGGTGCTTGCTAGAGGGAGGAGCGGTGTTATCTTAGTTCTGGGTTCAGTCTCATTCTTAGGCAGGTGCTTCTGTTTTTAGTGAGACTGGGCCTTTAAGAGTTCCTGCCTTTCTCTCAGCAGTATGGACCTCCAATAGTCTACAATAGGACTTTTAGTGTCCTTTTCCCTTTTCTCCTTTTCCTCTTCTCCCAGCCCCAGATGCCTCTTCACCTGTGCCCTGAAGGCAACAGGGATTTCTGCCCTTCTCCCACGAGGTTCAGGCTTTTTGCTGTGCGGGAGATACGGAAGAAAGATCTGGTGGGGACATCCTGCCTTTCTCATGGAGTAGTTTCCTCTGGCTTACACCACAGGAAAGGATTTCTCTGGTCTGTGTCTTTGACTCCAGTCTTTCAGGAGCCCCTGGTGAGGTCTATGGAATAAGCCTAGAGAAATAAGTGAGTTTCCTGTGTCTGAGACTCTCAGGGGTTCTTTATACTCATGTTAGCCTTTAGTAATTTGTTAACAATTTTAGCTAAATTATTCTTACTGGTTTGTATAGCACCTGGTATCTCTCCCAAGTCAGAAGGATTTGCAATCCCTGTGTCTTTAGAGGAGTCTGTCTTTCCCTAGATTCTGAGTTAATTGGTTGCCCTGACATTTCTGGTCTCTGAAGGATTCAAGAAAAGTTATGATTTTGATTATCCAGCTTTTCAAAATTGTAAGTACAGGAGTGAAGCTCTTCGCAGCTTTCTAGATTCTAATTTTCCAAAACATTATTTTCTTCCTTAAATAAGCTGAGATAATTTTTGTTTACTTGTAAACCAAGAAATAACAAAATAAACAGCACAAACACATTTATCCAGATGATGCAAAACACAAACAAGTATGGGGCTGGCCCCGTGGCCGAGTGGTTAAGTTCGCGCGCTCCACTGCAGGCGGCCCAGTGTTTCGTTAGTTCGAATCCTGGGCGTGGACATGGCACTGCTCATCAGACCACGCTGAGGCAGCGTCCCACATGCCACAACTAGAAGGATCCACAACGAAGAATATACAACTATGTACTGGGGGGCTTTGGGGAGAAAAAGGAAAAAATAAAATCTTTAAGGGGCCGGCCCGGTGGCGCAGCGGTTAAGTTTGGACGTTCCGCTTCTCGGAGGCCCGGGGTTCGCTGGTTCGGATCCCGGGTGCGGACATGGCACTGCTTGGCAGCCATGCTGTGGTAGGCGTCCCACGTATAAACTGGAGGAAGATGGGCACGGATGTTAGCTCAGAGCCAGGCTTCCTCAGCAAAAAGAGGAGGACTGGCAGTAGTTAGCTGAGGGCTAATCTTCCTCCAAAAAAAAAAAAAAAAAAAAAAACACAAACAAGTATTTAAGAGCCTTTAAATACTTATAAACAAGTAAGAGGAAAGAGGAATGTTGGCATATCCACCAGAGACCAGATTATGATAAGACAAGCACAGAGCATCCAAGCAGGACCAATAAGAAGGGAATCTTGGACAAATGATTCCAGAATACTCTGTTAACATCATGTCCCACAAGTTTTCACTGGTTCCTTGTTTTAAGCAATAGGAGATTTACGGTAGGACTCTCTGTGTAAACTTCATGTTTATTAGCATATGCTTTCATCCTAAATAAAGTTGTGTAAGATTCTCATTTCGCCAAGTAAGAGTACAAGTAACACTTTCTGATGTTTTAAAACAATTTATGTTGAAGATTTGCATAATTTTAAAGAATAATTTGATGGCTGAACCAAATTCATCCAATCATTCAAAAATACTCATTGAACACCTACCACTTGCCAGGCACTCTGTTAGATGTTAGGGATCCAGTACAATAGGAGTATTGATCTAACATCCCAAGCCAACCACTGAAGTCGAGATTCTGAGTGGGCGAACATCAGTTAAGGGTTGCCACTTTAGAAATTATTGCTTTAAGCATGCTTGTTTTTGTCTAGAGAATCTATATGTTATGACAAAGCTCAGCGCCAAGATTTATAGTTCTTGGTTTAAGTGTCTTTCTACTCAAGTAGACTAAAATCTCCTTGAATAAAGTGATCACGTTGTCAACCACTGTATAGTCATCAGTGAAGCAAGATGCTTGGATCTAGCAGGTGTTAAGTGACTGTTTGGTGAGTAAACATCTATCAAAGCAAGAGACACAGACAGTTTTTATTTTTATGTTTTAATGTTCCTGATGTCTATGTAATGGATATTGGTTCTTCCCTAAAAATAATAGAGAATTTGTGGTAAAATTTATTCTGTTACACAAGGAAATCATAGGGTTCGTAAAAAGCAAATAAAGCAATCAATAAGAAGTCAGAGATGTGAATGAGGTGAAGTGAGGGTGAGATGGGGGAGGAGAATATTTGGGGAATATTCAGAATGGCAAGAGAAGGATAAGGTGACAGAAAAGAGCAGGGACATGAGGAGTTTAGGTAGGGGGCTGGGAAGCAACTTAGTTGCATGCTTTTTGTATGAGTGAGAAAAAAATATCATAGAGGTAAAGTGACTTTTCAATGCCACACAATACTTGTTGCATAGCAATTGAATCAGAAGAAGGTGAACAGGATGGAAACTAGTGCAAGGGGAGAAGTCAGAAGCCAGAGAGGAGAGTCAGAACTTGAGGGACCATGAGTTTGAGTAGGTGGTCCACAGAACTGAAGGGGAAATGAGAGTCTAAATAGGTGGTCCAGGGTTTAGGAAAGGAGTTGATTTTCTTTTTCGCAGACACTAATTAAAGGAAAGTTTTTTCTTTTGGTAGGAGAAGGAAGCCAGAATAGAGGTATTGCAGGGTAGGTTCGTTTAGAACAGATATCAAAGACCAACTTTTCTGTGAGAAAGAAAGAACATCTGCAAATAAAATGCTGTTCCTGCAACTTCCATGTCTGGCAGTTCTTCTCCAAGGTGGTGACAATAAAGATGGTAAGATCTCTGGCAACTGCCTAGTTTGATGCAAGAAGGTCTGTATGTGTGTGTGTGCATTTGTGTGTGCATATGTGATGGATTTTCCCCAGCCTATACCTGGAGGGTGAGAGTGTCAGCTTTGTTCCATTCTGAGTGTCCCTGACGAGGACCCTATGCTCTTCTGAAGGCTGAATGTAAAGCGTTGGGCTTAGGGGGAAGGAAAATGTCTCCTGAGATAACTAAATCCTCCCTTTTCTTCAGATTCTGAGTTTCCCCTCTGTGGCACTTTTCTTTCTCCATTCTCTCTCCTTCCCAATACCCCTTTTCTCCTCATTTTATCTGTTCTTTTGACACAGACTTTCAAGAGCCAATCTCCTTCCAAATCATCCAGATTTCATCCTTCTACAACCGATCCTGGGTACAAAATCTAAGCTCAGGTTGGTTGGGTGAGTTGCAGACTCATAGCTGTGAAAGCAAATCTGGCACTATCATTTTCCTATGGCCCTGGTCCAAGGGTAACTTCAGCAATGAGGAGATCATGGAACTGGAAAAATTATTTCATATGTTCTCCGCTGGATTTCTTCAGGCATTTCATGAGCATGCCAGTCAATGGCAGCTTGAATGTGAGTTCAGTTCCCTCCACAGGGATGGCGGATATGGGTGGGAGGTGTGTGTGTCTCAGTGAGTTTCTTATTCCTCTAGGAAACAGCCTGCAGTGACTTATGAACCTTATCGCTCCCCATTGTAAAACTGCAATTACATACTTTTGGACAGAGAGCATAATCCAGATCCTGATTCTTGAAAAGCTTCAAGTCTTCTGTTACTTACAACTCCTCTCTCATTGACTTTAGGCTTGTGCCTTATTACATTCCATTGGCGGTCTCTTGTGATTACCCCTTTCCTTGACCTCCAACCAGATACTCTCAGCTTCCTCTCTCTTTGATTGCCTCCTTAAAGTGTGATTTTCTCCCTCATTGTATCTCTTCAGCAATCTGTCTCGATACATTCATTGTAACCTGTTGCATTCCATTCACCCTAGATTATTATAATGCCAACTCGCTCATATTTGCTCCTACCTTAGTCTATGCCTACACCATTCATGTTGTGTTCTTTCAATAGTTTGCCCCCCTCAATGTATCATTTATCCCTTCCTCCATCTCCAACTACTGACAATTCCTTTTTCTGAAATTCTGATCAAGCCAAACTTTGTTCCATTCCTTCAAATCTCCAAAACTTCTCCCTTCCACTTCTATTGTCTTTTGCTTCCACTCATTTCATTTTATCTTTTTACTCCCTCTTTTCTCTAATTCACAATCGCTCTTCCCAAGATCCTTTTCAGGTACAGACAGCAGGAGGCTGTGAGCTGCACTTTGGGAAAGCCTCAATAAGCTTCATGAGGGTTGCTTATCAAGGATCAGATTTCCTGAGCTTCCAGAACAATTCATGGTTGCCATCTCCAAAGGGTGGAAATAGGGCTCAGCATGTCTGCCAACTATTCAACTGGGATCAAATAACCCTGGAAATAATACAAAGGCTCCTCAGTGACACCTGCCCACGTTTCCTCTTGGGACTTCTTGATGCAGGGAAGTCAGATCTGCAGCGACAAGGTCAGTCCTGTACCTTCCATCGAAGAACATTCTATTTTGAAATCACACTTTCCCATCAACCCATCACCACCCTCTTAATAAGCAGCCGAGAGAGAGAGATTAATGGGTGACATATTCCTAGAGGCTGGAAAGATGTGTCTATGTAAACTGATGTGAAGACCTGAACATTTATGTCTGTGTTAGAGTTCTCATCTGAATATCTTTCCTGTCCTCTGCAGTAAGGCCAGAGGCCTGGCTGTCCACTGGCCCAGGTCCTGGTCTGAGCCATTTGACACTGGTTTGTCATGTCTCTGGTTTCCACCCAAAGCCTATTTGGGTGATGTGGATGCGAGGTGAGGAGGAGCATCCCGGCACTCAGCGAAGTGACATCTTGCCCAATGCTGATGGGACATGGTATCTTTGGAAGTCCTTGGATGTAGAAGCCATTGAGGCATCTGGTCTGTCTTGCCAAGTGAGACACAGCAGTCTAGGAGGGCAGGACATCATCCTCTCCTGGGGTAAGGAAGAACTGGGGCCCAGGCTAGGGATGGGAGTAGGTTGTCCTCAAGGAGAGAGCAGAACAGCTGGTTGAAAAATTTGGGCTTCTAGGGACTTCAGACAAAAAAGGATAAAAAATAAGTAATTCAAGAAACAGAAGAGTTGAAAATGAGAGACCTGGAGATGTAAAAGATGCTGTGGATTAGATGAAGGATTCATCTCTGAAAAGGGATGAGGGAAGAAATAGGAAGAAAGGAGAGTGGTGAGTCAGACACTCAAATAAACAAAGACAGACCAGGAAATGCAGTACAAAGGGAGGTGGATTTGAAATGACAGGATTGTGTGATCCACAGAACATCACAGCTCCATGGGCTTGATCTTCTCGGCAGTGATAGTGCCCCTGGTGCTTCTGACATGTCTGGCATTTTGGCTTAGGAAGTACTGGTGAGTTCTTTCCATCCATTCTTCCTGCTCTTTTCCCCACTCATCACTTGTCTTCTCATCTTTTTTGTTTTCTTTCTCCTCAGTTCTCCTCCTCCAAGTCCCCTTCCTTTTTACTCCTCACTTTTCGCCTCCACCTCATGCACAGTGACTTCCATCTCTGTTCTTGTCAGGAGATCCTGTGAATCTGCAAGCAATCTTCTTTGGAATGAGATCCCAGGAGCCCAGGACCCAGGACATATCTAAATGCATCATGGTGATGACTTCCATTCAACTCTTCCTGTAAAACTCTGTTGTTGTTTATTTCTGCTTAATGATTGTCAATACAATCTAAATGTAATTTTCCAAGATTTATTGTTATGACCTGGGTTCTGGAACTTGAAAATTCAAATTATAACTCTAAATGAATGAGCTTCTAGCAACCTCTACATATTCAAATATTAATGAATCATCAGTTGTATTTTAGATGTCACTTCCTCCAGAGGGCCTTACCTGATTTATAAATGCAAGCTGTCTCTGCCTTGTCTGAACTTTCAGTGCACTTGAACTGTACTTTGCCAAATCTAATCCTCACTTCCTGCCCTGTGTTGCAGCTATTTAGATCCCTTTTCCCCTTATAATTTATAAACTTCTTGAGAGCAAAGCCCATGTCTTTTTAATACTTGTATCCTTGGAAAAGTATCTTACCTGCATGTAATACATTCTCAATAAAAATCTGTGTTGAATTTATGCTGTATTTGTAGTCTTTTCTTATTCTTCTCCTTCTTGGCATGTTTGTAGTAGTTGAAACATTTGATGCTTTTCTTGTTAAAAGTCTTCTCACTTGGCCAAGAGACTCACACTTTCCTAGTTCCTAAGTGACATCTCTGAGTCCTTGAGGAGAAATATAATGTTGTCCCCTACCATTCTTTTTATTGAGCTGTAGAGACCTATTGGAGTGAACCTATTGTTCCCAGTATTCTAAACAAAATGAAGAAGGCAGGATGTAGGCCCTTACTATTCAGTGGGATTCAGGGACATGCAAAAGAGTTATCATTTTATTTGTTAGAAATATAGCTTGGGTTAGAAATATAGGATCTTGGGTCTCAGACTTCCTGAATCATAATTTGCATTTATCAAAATCAACAGAGGATTCATAGGTGCATTAAAATTTGAGAAGCTCTGATATAGGTGATGCCTGAGATGTAGTAGTGCAAGAGTGTCACTGAAGAGTGAAAAAGATGGTCAAGAAAACAGAACAAGAGTGTTGATTCTCAGGATTGAAGTGAGATCAAGGCAAATAAAGTATATACAATACATTCTTACTATTCATGGCTGTTGTGTTAAAGTGACTGGGAACACTGTTAGTGAATATGAGCATTGTTCCTCTTGGAAATACAGGGTTAGTGTCCTGTCTGCCTCTGATCACATTTGTGTCAACTGATCAATACATAGCCTTGTTTTATGTATGTTCCTGTTTAAAGACACCTTATATAATATATATTTCTAAATAATTTATGTATATTACATAGTATATATTTATAATAAAACACTAGTCAAGAAGTATTTAACATTTTCCCCCACCCTGGGTAACGTGATGTAAATTTCTTGGGCTTTCATGCACACAGCTGTGCTGTCCGCTATGTTTTTAAAAGAAACGCTTATACAAAAAAGAACAGTCATCATCTCATGAATCCACAAATCTAGCTCCTTTTCCATCTTTTCATAGCTTCATCAAAGCATTAATGATATTGCTTTAGCACTCTCTGGAGTAGCTCTACATGCAGACAGTGAATTTCCTCTTCCTTTTCTAGATTTAGCCTAGTGTCGATTCATTAACACTGAACCCATGGCCCACAACAATATAACTCATGACTGAACAAAGCTTATCTACAGGTGCATCTTCTCCACAAGGCACATCACAGCCTTCTTGCTCTCAGGAACACTGCATAGCATTTCAGCACTATGCTTGAGGGTCATTTTAAAGACAAAAATTGCCCACCAAGACCACAAAGATGCAGAAATTGTGATACTAAAGAGTCTGTGAAAAGGACATTTGTTTACAGTGAGAGAATTGAGACAAGGAGTCAGAGAGGCCCCTTGTTGGACCACAGCTGGAAATGAGTGAGGAGGGTGACAAATTTTGCTCCACACTGCACATGTCCATGAATGACTGTGAAAGGATTGTGAGTAATTATTTGGAGGCTACAGATAAGTTTTAACAAGTAGGGTAATTAGCAAATACAGAATTTTTGAATTTTGAACTCTTTCTTACTAATGACCCCAAATGGAGGTTTGAGCTGTGATATTCATAGCTAGGTATCCATCACTTTAGGATTCATTAATTAATTCAACAAATGATTCTTAAGCACTCACTATGCATCAATGACTTATTGAGTATAAAGTAGTGGGGAGAAGAAAGATTATCACTTTCTTCTGACCTTGAAACCTTGCCATCCTAATTTGGTTCTACAGTTTATTGTTTTCATTGTTTGTTGTTTCTAAGTTCCTTAGTCCAGTAGCTTATTTGGGGTAAACTAGAGGAAATGGACTTAACTCTAATTTCTTTAGGGAGCTGAGAGAGGGGGCACAGGGCAAAGAGAACATCCAGAGGGACTCAGTGCAGGTGGCAGCTGTTGTACATGTGGAAATTTTTGGAAAATAAAATTGAGATAGGAGAGAGGCAAAAGGTGAAAAATATGGGATGGGGAAGAGAAAACAGCAGGACTGCTGTAATCTTCCTACCTGGATTAGAGTGGTTGGCTGCTTCTCTAGGCTCCAATCTAAGTTGTCACCCTAGCATAGCAGCCATGTGATTTTTGGTTGGTTGACTTCATCCTCATCTGTAGTCCTGGATTGCCTAAGGCAATCATGAGAAAGCATCCTTGATAGGCTCAAGGATGAATAGGTAACCAATAATTTAAGCCAAATCATGATATAGATCCCATTTATCCTTGCTCAGACTGATGGGTCAGCATTAGGCACCTGCTCTAGGTGGCACAGTTTATATGGAGCCTGATTCTTGTATTTGGTGGTAGGGGAAAGAGATACTTTCTCTTGTCCTGGATGTGTGGTCTGGGGTATAAACCATGAAATGCTGTGGTAATAACAGTTAAGTAATTAAAATGCAAGACATTACCTGTGAATTTCATCCTGACACAATAAGTTGCTCATTCATCCATTCATTCTTTCATCATATATTCAGCATTTCCTATTTGTATGGTCAATGTGTTCACTGAGATTGGTTCCAAAATGTATGAGAAGCAGCAGTGTCTCCACATGTTTAAAAACGATGAATAATCTCTTCCCCTGAGCTCATTCCTTTTTTGATGTCAATGTTTAATCACCCAGAGTCAAACTTCAGAATTTTTTTAGGCTTTCTTTCCCAGTTTTCCTGTTTACCAAGTTATTCTCTTTGAAATCTCTAAACGTTATTTCTTCCTTTCCTTATTGGTAGATTTAACACCCTCAACATAGGATAAACATGGAGCTTTCCTCTCTCCTGGTATACAGTCCTGTTGGTTTTCTAAACAAACCCTTTGCCTCAGCAACTTGGGCTCATGTTTAGGGGATAGAAGTTTCTGCTCCTGAGAATCTCCTCCAGAAAGGATCGAGACCCTAGAATAAAATGTGAGGCAGGTTTGTAATTGGACTTGAAGAAAACAGAAGCTGAAGTGTAAGTTTCCCGGGATTTCGCAATTGCTTCAAAGCGGTTGGCTGCATTAGTAGGCAGTGCAGGGAAATGGGTAAATGGATTGAGGACAAAGCCCCTCCACTTGTGAGAACACGTAAGATGCTGGGTATTGTGCCCACCCACCTGTGTCTCATCTCCTGATTACTTGATATGAAAGTAAGTTGACCAAGTTGTAAGACGAGAATTTTTAAAATATGAAATTGTATTGAATAGTAAAAGGGTATGCCTTAGTATTTGACATTTTTCCAAGTCACTAGTTAGAAATTAGATTCTTTCTAAACATTTTTTTTTTTTTTTTTTTTAGGGAGATTAGCCCTGAGCTAACTGCTGCCAATCCTCCTCTTTTTGCGGAGGAGAACTGGCCCTGAGCTAACATCCATGCCCATCTTCCTCTATTTTATATGTAGGACACCTACCACAGCACGGCTTGCCAAATGATGCCATGTCCGCACCCAGGATCCGAACCTGAGAACCACCAAAGAAGAATGTGTGCACTTAACCGCTGAACCGCTGGGCCGGCCCCTGTTCTAAACTTTTTAATGGCATGTAAGAGTTTTTATTTAAGGAATCCAGACATGTGACCAGATGGCTACAGTCAGCTTTGTAAATGAGAGAAGGTTTGACACATTATTGCATCTCATTTATAAATATTTGTTTACTATTTGTAATCATTTAATTATGAATTCTTTAGTTATTAATTATTTTAGTTGTTAGTAGTGATCTTTAAAAAATCCTTTTCTTATTTACACATGAGAAGTTTAACTGACCAAGTTGGCAGCAAGCTGGAAGTTTATAGGAAATTTCTCAGTTCTAGCAAGAAGGATTAAAAGAGAATTTGTGAGTTCTCGGATGTACGATTCCAGCAAAAAACAAGGGAAGGGAAGTGTCTCCTTCAAAGAGAGCTGGCCACATCTATACACAAACCTATGTTCGTCACAGGCAGGAGTAAGAGGTTAGGAGGAATTGTAGCAAGAATAGAGGGAAAACCCATCTATATCATGTATCAAGAAAATTACTATTAGCCATTTTTGTGTTGAAATTCATTTTCTGTGTGATGTTAGTTTGGCGGCTAGAAACATTTGTTGCAAATTTGATAACTGCCGTTGTCTAAAGATTCAGAAATGACTCATTCATACTTTGCTCAATTTTCTGTGTTGATTTTGAGTACCTAAGTATTTAAAATGGGAAGCAGACACAGACTGTGAACAAAGTGCTGATCAGCACTCACACAGTTCTGCTTTCTGCTTTCATTTAACTTTAATTTTTCTGAGATTTTTAAATAATGGACACTCAGGATTAGTTTTTGCAATCTTATTACCATGCATTGTTTTTATACGGGTGAGCATATATTCTCTTTTTCTGGTGTATAGATGATTCTAAAATGACATGCATATGGGAATTTATAACTTTAAAAGCATTTGTTTCTAAACAACACGACTAAAAACATATGAGCTAAGACTTTAATTGAAGAAGCTAAAAAACAACAAAACCAATGAAAATTTAGAAGTAGAAAGTTAATTTAAAAGCAGTAAAATTTGAAATAAAAAGCAAAACAAGAAATAAAGGTGATTGC